GGAATATATAACCTTTTTTAATATGTTTACATTAAAAAAAATAAATTAATTTAAAAATAAATTATAATTAAAAATAAATTATAATTAAAATAACATTAACAACTACCTTAGTGTTTTAAATGTTGTGCTGGGTCCGAAAAAAAAAAAATCTCAGCACTGAATACACAGAGGTAAAGCAGTTCAGCATGACTAAGTTACCACTGTAAAAGGAATAAACTGAGAGAATGGAAAAATATATACTTTCTTTCCAGACACAAAGAATAAATAAAGAATTAAATCCCAAATTATGTAATTTACTAAATAATATATACCTTTAATTTCAAATTGTTACTTACAATACTTGAAAAAGTATTCGAATGAATATGCATGTCTTTGAACAAGGTCTATTTTTTTTGTCGAATAAGCAAATTATAGTACTGTAATGATGGAGGCTAAAAAAAAGAGAAAAACCCAGAAGTATAACTCCTTTATTTTACTTTCTATTTCCTTTCATATTAGAAAACCACTAATTATTCACTTTATGCCTAAATTAAGTGTTTCATACAGTAAGTGTATATAGCTATATATACATATACGTTGTTTTTTTTTCCCCACATAGTATTTATGGTGATCTATGAGATGCTTGTATGAATACATTAAATATGTCTGAGGGCTTCTAAGCAAATATTACAGTAAAATGTTTTAGTAGGTCCCATCAGCAACCTTGGCACACCATCACTTCCAATCCTAACTATCCATAATGATAATTACATCATTATGGTCTTATGCCATGTATAATAAATTTGCACTCAGTATGACACTTTAAATCATAAAAATATTAAAATTTACCAGATGCTGAGCAATTTAAATATAAACCTTTGAGACAGAGGGTATTTCAGTGTTACATTTCATATTAATTGGTGAGTGTGTACCCATGGACTTCAAGGTGACATAAATGTTGATTGCTTCTTTATAAACACATTGCCTGCTCCACATAGTATATTTTTATGGTGAATATATTTCCATAAAAGAATTGATTAAGCCTTTGAAACACTGGTTATCATGTTTGAGCAGCTGTTTGAAAGTGCTATATAGCATTGTGTACATAGCTTTTAAAATAACTATCGTAATAAAAAAATGCAACAGTATTTTACTTTATCCCATATTGAAATCTCAGTAACTCAAGGGCTTGGAATTTAGTCCACTGTAATGTGAATGAATTCTATCCAAACCAGTAATTTATTTGAAAAGGTCACTAAAGGAAAATGAGAAGGATAGAGCAAATACATTTTTTAAAGACATCTTGGTACAGAATGGATGCTATTTTGGCTTAAATATTGTCAGCATCTAACTTAGAGATTTCTGGAATCATTTAAATGTACAAAAATCATATTCATTACTATATTCTGTGAACGCTTCAGAGTAACTTGCAAGGAGAATTTTTATTTTTTCTAACTGCATTTTCAGCTCTCATTGTAGCACAGTTAGCCTTGTTTTAGGTTTTATTTTGGTTGGTTCCTTATGGCCATTATTTTTGCTTTTAATGGAAATGAAAATTTTGTCATTCTTTCTGTGCATTTATGTACCATCAGCCTTCTCTCTAGTAACTTTTAAACACATCAAACATTTCAAAGAAATTTTTCCTTTAGCTCCTATAAGTTTCACAACACAGCAGCAAGTAGGGAATGGAGGTGGGCAAATAAAACTATAGATCAAGACTGGCAGAGATATTCCATGGTTTGTTAGACAAGGATTAGACTAGTCACATCATGCACTTTTTAATGTATGTATTACACAGGGAAGAGGAAGGTTAGGATGAGAATATATCGAGAACAAGTACTGTGTTTAGGAAAGTCATGGAAAATGAGGTTTTGTCAGCTTACTGCTCTTAGAATAACTTATTTGGTTTCCCCAAAACACTGGCAGGAATACATCAATTTATCCTACCTCTGTTTTGCCAATACATGGTGATAAACACGTGTAATTAAATCCATGAGATTTATCCATACACAGTGCTCCTGGGGCACAGCTTATATTGCAGAATAGGCAGGCATCAATATCCAGTTCACATCTTTCACCTTCAAAACCTGCACCACAAAGAGAATGTTTAATCACAGTTCATTCAGAAAATTGACATTACGTCTGTTTAGGGTGTTACCAGTTAACACCACTCTACTAGAGTAATTTGGTGGTCTTATTTCCCAAACAAAGTGAAAAAGTGGGATTCTTCATAAAAATGTTCATTATGTACACTGAAATTTATGGCTTATTTTAGGTTGCTATTTCTTGAACTTAAATATCTGGATCACATTTCCTTCGTTCTGCTTAGAAAATACAATAAATTTCCAATGACTTACCTATTGGGCAAGTGCACTTAAAATGACCTTCATAGTCAACACATGTTCCTCCATTTTCACATGAATTGGAACCACAGTTATCAATTTGTACCTCGCAGAATTCTCCTGAGGTTGAAAAAAAAAATAAAAAATAGTTAAGAATTAATATCATATTCTTAAACACCTCATGAACCATATTAGTAATACTGGCAAAATAACTATGGCTTTAAATAATCTTTCTGAAATTATGGTTAGAATTTAAAGACATTTTGTAAGTTTCCAGACTCCTTTCTCTCTATTTATATGAAAAAAACCCTCAGGTTCTTAAAAAAAAAGATAAAAAAACCCCAAAACCTTTCACCAATTAAAAAAATAAATAAATAGATGGGCTTCAAAAGGAGATACAGAGCTGAAGAAGGAGGATTTACACTGAAATGAAGGTAATACCTTTGCATTTCCTACTTTTTACTGTGCAGGGGTCAACACAGATCTCTACTCAATAGTTTGATTCTATTATGTATCTATTTCATTACATCTTTTCTGGGTTCCATTTTGGCTAGGAAAAGCTAGTCCACATTTGTCTGAGGCAACCTTTAGTGTCATTCTAGTGAACAATTACTTGCTCATTTAGATGAAGACTTTTTTTTTAATCTCAGCATGAAAAGATACCTGAACTTGTAACTGGATAGTTCTAAAAATAGTGCACTGAAGAGAAATACATGTCTAGCAAATTGTAGCAGTCAATAAGGAATATTGTCAGCTTTACCATTAGTCTTGGAAAATTAGTAGATCTGACAAAAAAACCCCATCATCTCAGTAAGGTTTTCTTACTCTTTTTGGTGCTTAAAACAATACAATTAATTCTGTGTAAAGGTCCTTGAGATTTTTTTTCTTGTTATTAGTGTCCTGTTGTTCCTTTTTCCATAACATATTTTTAAACTTTGATTTACTATTTATACAGCAGAAGGTCAATGTTTTCTGTTTTTTTTATCAGTTTTAGAAAAGATAAAGAAATGGAAAGCGAATCAATCTTTGCTGCTGAGAAAACTAGAAGAAGGTGGACAAATTTTGAAAAGTTTCAAAGAGGAATATTCAGAAAAGGATTTAAGAGTAAATTACTGATGTGTTTACCACCAACTTGTTTGTAATCTGTGTTACTTCACTTACTGACTTAAGTAGAAAAAGCAGAAGGGCAGTACAGGGGGAAAATGTTAGAGATAACTGTATAAGAAATTGGAATAATTTCTTTAATCAGATAATATGTTCTCTAGAAGGTTGTGCCAAAAGTTAGTATTATAATTTAAATTCTTCGTATGGCAGAACAAGATGGTAATTTTACTTCAAACGATTAAATTACTTTTAAATTTTTAATCAGCTCTCTTTTTGATCTAAAGCTACATCATAAGAACATGAACTAATTTTAGTATACTGGAATGGAATGTCCAACTAGGGCCTAAAGTGTGCTTTTTATGGACTTCCATAAGCGTAAGCAGTCATATACCTATTAAGACCTTAATGCTGTTTGTTGGCCAGCAATTTATACCTTTGGCCAGCAGGTGGTGAATCACATGTACAATCTCATGTATTTACAGAGGCTGACCAGCGTGCTATACAGACTTCTAAGGTTTATTTTGCCTCTTTCTTCCTCAGTTGAAAATAGCCCAGTATTAACATATAACATTTTTTTCAACACCCATGGGTATATTTTACTGTAAGTTATAAAACTTACTGAGGTAGAAATATTATTACTGTAAAATTTTAAAAACAGATAAAATAGGAAATTAGATACTTCTTGCTGTTTATTCTTCTAATACAGTATGCAATGGGAAATTGATATAATATCACATAATAGAGCATAATACAGTATAGTATAATGTAATATAATACAATGTAATGTAATGTATGATATCATTTACATTGGAAACTATGGACAACTTGACCTCACATTTAGGATTCTCATTTGTTCACTTTGTATTGGCACTAATGGTAACTATGTCTCTGTATCCCCTGTTTTGCTGGGAAGATATGGGAAGATAACATTGTGATCAATACTTTTAGAAAGCCATGCTATGAGTCAGGATGAGAGTCATAAAATACAACTTTGTGTAATACCGGTTGGCAAAAAAACACACTAAAAAAACCCAGAAAATTTAATTGTGAAATCAACTGAATGTATTTAGGAAGTGTCTGTCTCCTAGGAAATGTGTTTTCTTTTTTTTTTTTTTTTTTTTTAATTTTTTTTTTCTTAATGAGGTCTGGAAGGCAAAATCAGAGAAAAGAAGAGTGGGAATACACATAAACTCAATATGTATTTTGGATCCATTTTTTCATAATTATTCATGAGTGTGTATTTGTCTTGTTCAAGATACCTTATCAGCAACTTAATACAAACTGGCTTTAAGAATTATTTTGCTATAAATTTGAAATCCTTATAACGGCTGTATCCTTTAAATGAACTTTACGACTTCCCCCTGCCACTATGAGGTCAAAAAAACCTAGTAACTCCATACTGTTTTAAAATTTATTAGACTCTGAATACTGCTGAGAAATCCATAATTTATGGTATTAAGATCTGATTAAGTGTTAAATGGATGTCAGGAGAGATCTCCACAGTAATCCACTTAGCTTTTAATGCCTAATTATCACTTCATAGTGAGTGAGGGCTGAATAATTGAGAAATGCAATACTTAGAGAATTCAAACAAGATTTTTGTGTGCAATTAAGCAACTTATTCTTGTATCAGGAATAAGTTCAGCAGATAGAGAGAAAAAAAGCAAAAAATAAAGAGATTATAGAATTTAAGAGGGAGGAAAAGATATCCATGGGACAGCAATGTGTACTGAGGGCCATGAGAGCCAATTGGTTCCTGGGATGCATTAAGAATAGTGTCATCAGCAGGTCAAGGGACATTCTCCTCCCCATCTACTCTGCCCTAGTAAGACCACATCTGGAGTATTGTGTCCAGCTCTGGGCTCCCCAGTTCAAGAGGGACAGGGATATGCTGTAAAGTGTCCAATGGAGGGCTACAAGGATTATTAAGGGACTGGAGTATCTGTCATATGAGGAAAAGCTAAGAGACCTGGAGCTGCTTAGTCTTGAAAAAAACAGTGAGAGGGGACCTTAGTAATAATAAATATCGGAAGGGTGGACATCAGGAATGGGCCAGTCTCTTTTCAGTGGTGCCCTGTGATAGGACAAGGGGAAACGGCACCAAGCTGCAACATAGGAAGTTCCATTTCAACATGAGGAAGAACTTCTTTACTGTGAAGGTGACAGAGCACTGGAACAGGCTGCCCAGAGAGGCTATGGAGTCTCCTTCTCTGGAGACTTTCAAGATCCATCTGGATGCATTCCTTTGTGATCTGCCCTAGGGGATCCTGCTGCAGCAGGGGTGTTGGACTCGATGATCTTCAGAGGTCCCTTCCAACCCCTACCATTCTGTGATTCTATGAAACAAATTTGATTGAAGTTTACCATTATACTGCTTGTTTTAAAGAATGTTCTTATGCATTTTCTATCAAAGCATGTGTTCTTACAAATTATATTTAATCCCAAATTGTATGTCCACAACATCAGTGAAATAAAGCATGAGCACAAACAGGCACAACCTCTGGTTATGCATGAACATCAGGAAACATCTTTTTACTGTACAGGTGACCAAGTACAGGTTGCCCAGAGAGGTGGTGGAGTCTCTATCTTTGGAGATATTAAAAATCCATCTGGACATGGTCCTGGGCAGCCTGCTCTGGGTGACCCTGCATGAGCAAGGGAGTTGGACAAGACGACCTCCACAGGTCCCTTTCTAAACTCAATCCTTCTGTGATTCACAGAACCACAGAATATCTGAAGTTGAAAAGGACCAGGTAAGGATCTTTGAGTCCAACTCTCTGCTCTTTGCAGGTCTACAAAAACTAAACTATATGTCTAAGCATTGGCCAGATGCTCCTTGAACTCAGGCTTGGTGCCATGACCACTTTCCCAGGGAGTCTGGTCCAGTGACTGACCTTCCTCTCAGTGAAAACCTTTTCCTAATGTCAAATCTGAACTTTTCCTGATGCAGTTTCATTTTTTTAACCTCATATCCTATCTCTGGTCACTGGAGATCAGCACCTCTCTCTGCTGTCCCCCTTGAAGAAGTAAACTGCAATGAAGTTGCTCCCCAGCCTTCTGTTCTCCAAACTGAACAAACCAAGTGACCTAAGCTGAAACTTGTAAGTTTTGCTCTTGAGGCCTTTCTCCATCTTAGTTACCCATGTCAGGACACATTCTAATAGGTTGATGTCCTCATATTGAGGCTGTCTAAACACAATACTTGAGGTGGGGCTATACCAGTGAAGTGGTATATCGCCTCCCTTGATTGGCTATCTCTGTTGTGCTTGATGTACTCCAGGACATCATTTGCCCTTTTCATTGCCAGGGCACACTGTTGACTCATATTATACTTGCCATCCACCCAGACCCCCAGATCTCTTTCTGTGGGGCTGCCTTCCAGCATCTCATTTCCCAATTTGTGTGTATAACCAGGATTGCCCCATCCCAAATGGAGAATCTAGTTCTTAAAGGTGGAGTTTTTTCTGGTCAAGGACTCAACGAGCTTACCAGGACTATAAAAAAATCATCATGACTTTCCCAATGACATTGGACAGGTTCCTCATCACCATTTGGGTATGTCTCTTCTAGTGCCACAGATGTGTATATGTCTGATGTACCTATGTGCTCTTAGAAGTATCTTCCTTTATTGTGGGTAATGCAACATTCCCAGAACTTGTCTGCTCCTAGGCTAGAGGAATTGCAAGGCACCAGAGCACAAACCTGCAAAAACTGAGGCATAAAAAGCAATTTACTTTGCGTTGTGCCCACTGCCCTATTGAGCAGAGGGCCCTTATTTTCCTTGTCTTTTATTAGGCTACCAATATACTTTAAGAAAACCTTCTTGTCCTCCCTGATTTTTGCTAGTTTCACCTGCAGCTGAGCTTTAGCTTTTCTAACTACATCCACATTCCATCAGATAATGTCTCTACATTTCTCTCAAGCAGCTCATCCCCACTTCCGCTTTCTTTGTACTATGGGATGAGACATTTACCCACATTAGCATACTAAACATGAAAGAATATACCTTGCTTTTC